AGTGAAAACTTTTTTTTGTAAAACAAGTAGAACTCAAAGGAATCCTTTATTATAGAAATGCATCCTCGTAACAATAGATAGTATCAACAAAGTTATGTTTTAAGTTCCAGTAATAATAAAATAACAAAATAAAGGAAATTGAATGCTAATTTTTTGTTTTTATTATCTACTAATTACGGGTAGTACATAAGCTGATTCACACAAAAACAAAAAACGTTACGTCACGTATGACCATCTGTATGATAACGCGAATCTCACGTGAGCTGTCGATATGTGATGACAGGTATCACTTGTCACTCGAGAAATGACAACACAGTTCAGATCGCTTACTTTTTTATTTCGAACAATTTTTTATTCGAAAAAGTAAGTAAAAGCTTCTTTCAAAATATTTTAACTAATCTTTAAATTTGCTAATTTTAGTCAAATAAATTTTGAAAAACGTAGAATTGATTTTTTGGAATAATTATAAAAATAAACGAGGATTTTTAACTTGTTTACAAAATTAGAAAAAAATGGCTGATAGCTACTTTTTTAAGTAATTTTGATGACAGAAATAAACAACTTTTTAAATAAAATTTCGGACCTGATAAGAATGAGTAAAAATTTTTTAAAATAATCAAAAAATACTTTGGTGTTTCTTCTTAAGAATGATATATATTTTAAGCCGATAAAAATTTATTACATCGTTTTTTTTCATGCTATATGTTTTTTTTGTAGCAATTTCGTGGAGGTACCTATAAATTTGCTCTATAAGTCAGTTTTGATCCACGTATTTGCTCTATAAGAGGAAATATTTTGTGCAAGGACTGTATTGTAATTTGTATTATTTGCATATATGAAAAATATTTTTGTGCTTGCAGTGTTTGTTTCTTTGCGAATTTCACACCAGGTTAAGTGTCTTGGGTTTTTCGTTTACATCATTCAAATTACTCGAGATAAGAGATCTTACGTCCTCCTTTCTCCTTTTTAACTTATAAATCCTTTTACCTTGCTTCAGTATCTGTCTACTAGGCTCACTTATATTTTTAGCTGTGCGTAATAGCCGACGTAATTTTCTAGAAAAAACGTCTCTCCTATCACATCTCGTCCTGGGTATGACAATAAATTACACCGGGAGGTTTTGAGGAGCGTGGAACCACCTCTTAATTACTATTGTTCCCAGGTTCACCCTGATCCGGGGTGGTAGCATCTGTTAGGGTCCCAGCTATGGGCAAATAGTTAACCCCTAAACTGGGGTAAAAACACTATGAAAGTGTAAAAATAGGTTTTAATACCAGAAATTCTTAATTTAAAAAAATTATTACCAGCAATATTTTTTTAAAGAAAAAAAAACTATTACCAGCAGTACATTTTTTAAAACAATGTTTTTAAAAAATAAATATTAATAGCAATACATTTTTGGAAAAAAATATTACCAGCAATGCATTTTTGAAAAAAAAATATTACCAACTATACATTTTTGAGGAAAAAATATTAACAGCAATACTTTTTTGAAAAAAATTATCAAAATATTACCAGCAATAAAAATTTTGTCCGCATTAAATAACCCATTGAAGTTGATATGCCGTAAACCAAACCAAACCAAACCAAACCAAACCAAACCAAACCAACCAACCAACCAACAAATTTCAAAAATTTCACATCGCAAAGGATGTTAATGTGATTGACTGCATAGTTGGGCTAGAATGTCGTTTCCACAGATATCGGAGAGTTTTCTGAAATTTTGAGAAGAATTTTGTCAATTCCATTAAATGGTCTGATTAGTATCTTCACCATCGATATTTTAACACAATATTCCTGGTTTTCTTGTGTTAGTCACATTTTTTAATCGCTACATATTTTTTAAATCTCAATTACTTCCTCACGTGTTGTGGCTTCAAACGTTCGCCCAGTAACTAAAAAGGTATGAATGGCGTTACAGTTAGCGACACGATGAGCGGAATTGGCAAACCAAGTTGAAGTTCCAGCTTATTTTGTTGCATTCTCTTTTGTATTAATCCTTTTGAGGAAGGCATGAATCCATGTATTCCCTCTACCAGCTAGGGGTTAAATACCTGATATACTGTGTTTCCCAGCTTTGGATAGGAGAGGGATAACTCTACCTTCAAACCGGTGAAAAAGGCATAGGGAAACCACTCCACTATATGGTGATGATGGTTGATTGGGTTTTGCCTTGGCTTTTTGTAGTAGAAGTTGCTTCCAAGCCTCAACCTCAACAATTCTTTTTTTTTTTTTATCAGAAAATGCAGACAGATGAGGTGCCCTTCAATCGGAAAGAACAAAATAATGTAATTGTGGTCATTGTGTGGAAAAAAAATCTACGCAAGTTTTGAGAAGTACCCATGAGTATGATTTTTTAAAATTCACCTATTTTAGGGATACCCGGAATTTGATTCACCTGTGTTTGATCCTTTTGGTATCATTCCAAAAGACCCAATAACAACAAAACTGACAATCGAACTCATGCTCAGTCGTTGTGACCAACTAGACTAGCTCGCTAACAATTACCCCGATATCCAGACTGGAATGTTGGACGACTTTGCCCGTTTGAATCTTTATCTTTTTATATTTGGTGGCCATCACCAGCTAATCATTATACCATTTATTTTCACATATATTTGGCAATTTGGGAGTTGTTGTTGTTATTATTATTATTATTATTATTATTATTATTATTATTGTTGTTTTTGTTGTTGTTGCTATTATTATTATTATTGTTTTTGTTGTTGTTGTTGTTGTTGTTGTTGCTATTATTATTATTATTATTATCTTTGATTTATGTTGTATACATATTTCCTCCCGGGTCCCAACCAGAGACCTAAGCTAGCTTCCTGACATTTTCTACTGATCACTTTTGTAAAAAAATAAAAAACATAGATCACACACATATTACATAGATAAAGCGCTTCGTAATGTGTGAGGTGTACTTGTGGGTACAATCTTTATGTATTTCTTTAAGTTATAGGCTACCAGGAATCTCTTCAATGAGTCTATCGGAACCTTTTCCATTCAATCCGAGGACTACAACTATAACTGAAAGTATTGATGTCCTCATTTACCACATTTGTTTTATATCTCCACTTCAATATCCTTGTATTTTGATAGTATTTCAAAGATCTTCAAATCTACAGGGATTGCCATGTCCATTAAGAAAGCACATTCTGTTTTTGTGGTCTTTGATTAAAATGTCTGAGTGATTGGCTTTGATTGTTCTGTCTCTGTATATTGTAAAGTAACATAAAATTGTTACAGTTCCAATGACTGTAATCAGGTCTGTGTGATGTTTATACCAGTCTCTTGCAGTTTCATTACCGCAAAAGTTGCATATATTCTAGTGCAGATATTAGCCCTCTCTATCATATCGAATTTATATTTAGTGAGTGCTAACAGTGTGAAACCTGATACAAGATGATCAATTATTTCTGGATATATATAACAGAATCTACATTTGGGGTCACAATTTTTAGTATGTGCGCTTGGTAATTTCTAGTTAGCAAACATTGTACAGCAAGAATAAAACCTTTGGTTTCAGCTTTTAACCCTGCACGACGTAACAACTGATGGGTACGAGGTTTGTCTACATTTTGTTTGATACGGGCAGAATATCGACCATGAAGAGGCTTATCTTGTCAACGTTTTTGGCATTTGGTACATTGCTTTTGCTTTGTTTTTTTAGGCTGCTTCAGTGGGTGTGGGTGTATTATGGTTTATTTGTACTTTCCCTTTTGAATTTGTTCGCTTCTTTTATTACTGAATAAAGTTTCTTATTTCTTTCATGTTCTTTGACACAGATCATCATCAAGTCTTCTGTAGTTCCCATGTATTTTTGAATATCGATTGTTTTGAACTAATCTTCTAGACATACAGACAATCAACATCAGCTTTAGGATGATACATGAGGTGGCACCTAACAAACTTTCTCGTTTTGGCACCCATTTATTGTTGTTGTTATTATTATTATTAATAATAATAATAATAATATTATTGACTGAAAGCACAATATATATACGAAGCACAATATACCCATCATGATACCCATTCTGATAAAGATATACCAAGTACATGCACCACAGCCAAATGTGGGTGATATATTGACAGGTTTTGATAAACGTAGCTCTTAACCTTGCAGCTGGGACCCATTTAGAAATACCATCAGGTCGATTAACGCATTCCATTCAGACGCTCTTCGATTGAGAATGACCCGATGATGTAACTCGCAAGTCGATTTGGTTGCCCCATCATTCGAATATAAAAAGAAAAACAATCCTCTACACAATCAGTCGTGATGCTCCCTCATTACTACGACTCCGTTCCATAAAGCAGCAATTCGTAGGAAGAAGCTGCTCCAGTGGAATTTATATCTCACCAATGGAATACGACGAGTGGTTCGCTAAAATGTGCGTGGCATTGGTGGGTTTAGCCGTGAAGGTTAGAATTAATGGAACTAAGGAATGTAGTTTGAATACTTTCCATGAAAATAGCGATTGAACAGTAAAAGGCTTGAGATATTTCGTCAGTGAGAAAGGAGCGGTAGGATGCAAAATAATTCGTCACCCACAAGGACGCGAAGACTAGAAAATGAAGACTGGGCAGCTGTTGCCCGTATATTGCAGCAGTACTCCTTTTTCGGTCTGATCTGGCTCTTGTAAAGGGTGGAGCAGGAGAGACCAAGTACTTACAGGAACTTTAAAGGCAACCGACTATTTTTCCAGCATCTAGTAGCTTTCAGAGGACAGCATATTTTCTAATTATTATTATTATTATTATTATTATTGTTGTTGTGGCTCACACATTACAGCTCTCACTGAGTAACTCCCACTTGCTACTCTGTTTAATTAAAATAAACTTAGTAAATACCTATAGAACAAAATTTTGCTTATTCGTCATTTCGTTCGACACAAAACTGTGTGTGCTGTCCATACACACTGGAACATCCACATTAAATATATGATCTATTTCGCGCACAGATTCTACGGGTAAACAAGAGGTCCGTAGATTACCTCATAACGTTCTGCAAAACCAGTTTGATAGATAGATGTCGCAGTAGGGTAGAACGCCCTTCATCAAACATAGCTCATGCTAGAAATTCTCAACAGTGGAATGTGTAATAGGACAGAACAGTACATGTCGCTAACCAAAGCTGCATGATCTTCCCAAGCAAGGGTCGACAAACTTTTGGAGAAAGCAGGCCAGACAGTTATGCAGTGTCTCAGAGAAGGACCATTATATCAAATCTACTAAATTGTCTGGAGGTTTAAAAAAAAAAAGAAAGAAGTTAATTTTATATTATTTAAACGACGTTTCTTATTTACAGCAGGAATAACAGGATCACTAACAAAACAAAAAATGCAAATTCCTTACTACGATTAAGTTGGCGGGCTCGATAAAAATCCTTCGCGGGTTGGATGTTGCCCAGAGGCTGGGGGTTGCCGACCCCATGTTCTAAAGTATCTGTTGCTGTAGATACGAGGGAGTACTGAAATTTTCTTGACCCGATATACTTCTCAAAATATGGCCAAATAACCAAGCATTGTGTGTGTGTGTGTGTGTGTGTGTGTGTGTGTGTGTGTGTGTGTGTGTGTGTGTGTGTGTGTGTGTGTGTGTGTGCGTGCGTGCGTGCGCATTTTACCAAATGACACCCATCGTTGGGTTATTTACTGTCATTTTTCTATTATGCAAGGTTCTCAGTTTTTTACGTAATGTTTTTATATGACCAATTGTGGTTACTCAATTCAATACGCAGTTCTAATGGTCAGCTAGAATTGTCTTGCAAGTCCATACTCCATGACAAAGAGTCGTTTTTCTGCCTTTTTTTCTTTTTCTAGCAAGCAAGAGTTTGTTCGAGAATTTTTCAGCACAATTACCTTCACAATCACCAGATTAACAAAATAGCACCAATAACCATGATGGCCATAACTAAACAAAATTAAACAAAACAGATACTTTATGACAGTACAGAGTTTTTTTGTGTTTGTTTAGTGCAAACGTGTAAAAAACAACAACGACAATCAGTTTTTTGTTTTACCGATTTAAGGCCATTGCTTATCAACAGTTTTTGTTCTATTTTCTTTTCTTTTTTTTCTGAACTGTATCATTTTTTTCTACAGTCTGTTTGTCTCTCTTAACCACTCACTACTCTTTGTGTATGCAAATAAGTAAACGCTCTCTATTGTTTCGCTTTCGGCTCTTTACAGTGCTAAGCCACTACTAGTATGATTTATGAAGAACCTCCAACTATATAGCAGGAGCGTTAGACCATATGTGGAAACAATATTCGAATCCCAGGATCCCCGAGTATAAAAAGCCATAAACTTTCCTAATCAGTCGCAATAACCTGACCTGACTGATCCCTAGAAAACCATTTCCTCTGCCATCCCGTGAAAAAGGATGTGAGCTAATTTTAGTTTTCAAATTCTCACTCGCTGTCCCAACTGAATTAAAAGATGGTATCCCTAATCAAAGTACTATAGCGACGGCTTGCTTAATAACTCCGTAAATGTAGAAATTTCTTACGAATTTTTACTTTTGAGTGGATCAAAAGAAGCAAGGGGATAACAAGTATAAAAGGATTCAATAAGTGGATATAGAAGCAAATAGAAGCAAATAACTCACATCCGACTTATTAAGTGCGGAAGAGTATTCTGAATTGGCGGGAGAAACGTTGAAATGGCATGACAAGGAGTAATTAACTATCAAGTATTAATTGATTATCTTCCCTAATATGGAGATTGAAATGAGAAAAATCTACACCTTCTTTATGTGCCGTGTCCATACAAGACAGGCGATCATGGATTCCTACAAATTTCTATCCTTTGTAGCTCTTAATAAATTTTGTCTTTATTTCTCCTAATCCCTGTTCCGACATCCATTTACTCAAGCTTACTTAGGTAACTTATGCACTGTTTTCTTTCCGGGTCTCTTACCTTCAATCTGTCCTGTGAATATTGGTGGATTTAACAAAAGAGTTCAAATGAAATTTCAAGAAAATTAACAAATACTACAAACACCTGAATAAGACCGAAGTTTTACGAATATAACAGCTAATATGGCAAGTAAATCAGTGATTAATAACAATAATAATCATAATAATCCTGTACCCATCAGTGGCTACGTAGTGCAGAGTTAAGAGCTGAAACTGAATGTTTTATTTTTCTGCACAGGACCAATGCTTGCTAAGTAGAAATTACAGAGCACACATACTGAAGAATTGTGTTAATACAAAATGCAGATTCTGTAATAAATATTCAGAAACAATTGACCATCTTGTATCAGGTGGCGTAGTATTGGCACACGCTGAATATAAAACACAGCACGACAGACTGGGCCAATATCTGCACTATGTAAAATATGTGCATTTTTTTTTTAAACTACTCATTGGAAAATGTTATGATGCCATTTCTGACCTTATTCTCTGTTCGGGACACAGAAAGAAATGAGTATACACCAGAAACTAAAGGAATTAAACAATAATAATAATAATTAATTTCCCATCTCAAACCCTCAAAGAAAAATACATTTTCTGTATTTCATCTCTTCAACTTGAAATTTTGTTTAAACAGATGTTAGCGATTGCTAGTTTTATAAGTTCAATATCATATTAAAGAATGCATCGGCAAAATAGGAGTTATAAACAACAAAGAGAGATAGTAATTTATTTGCTTTTTCCCAACCAATTTCATACCGAGAGTTTTAGGATTTATTTGATTATAATTTGTCTATATTTCTGAGATGAGGTATTATGTACATTATTTACATTATTCGGACTATTGTCCTCATCTTTGTCGCCATATTTATCACAACGTTTCGGCCGTTGTACGCTCCGGCCTTCTTCGGGTGGTTGGAATGTCGAACTGAACCCTTTATTTTGCTCACTGGGGTAGACTGTTCTAGTTCCACCGTCCTCAAGGACACATGGCACAGTGGATAAAGGCGTTGGTTAGATCCAGTGACAGTACCCAAAGAGTGTGAGTTCAATACCCGGTTAAGACAGTGGAGAACTTTCAGAGGGAAATTAGCAGGAAATAACTGATAACTGACATCCGTCAAACATGGCACGTGGAACTAGAACAGTCGAAACATTGTGATAAATATGGCGACAAAGATGAGGACAATAGTCCGAATAATGTAAATAATGTTGATTATAATTATATGATATTCACAGCTAAAATGCCTAACAATATGTATTGTAAAATCCATTTTTCGTTGGGTTGTGACAATATGTTTCCCCATTGATTCTGAATGTCTTTCATCAATGCCGTTTATTTTTTTCTAAGCTTAGTTTGGCACAAGGTCACAGAAATGAGGCATCTAGTGAGGATCGAACTCACTAGTAATCGTCAACAAGACAACTTTGATCACTATTACTCCACAAAGAGTCATCCGATAAGGACTCCTGATTTATTTCAGCAAGAAATCCCCGCTCAGCATATCATAAAACAATAATTATTATTAAGATAGATATATTAACCATTTTATCCAAGCTCAGGAAATTAAAAAATATATATTTTTAAAACAGTTTGTTAATAACGTCCGTAACCGGGGTCGGGGTTGCTTCTCGTTTCTAAATAGAGACATCTTGAATGGCCGATGGTGTTTGAATCCCGACTTAAATGATAGCACCAATAAATAAAAAGTCAATGTACTAAATCAGATGTTAAAAGTGGGAGAGCTAAATCAATTGTTAATATTTAAAGATTCCGGATTTTATATTTTTTAGCTGATCCTCTCAAAAAATGAATATCTTTTAGATGTATTGTTATGCTAAAGTTAACCCAATACAGGGCTCGAGAGCGCCTCAAAGAAGAGCCATTTTACTTTGATTTTAAATACATTCAGTTTATTTTTGCTTATTTTCTGAAATGAGAGCTATATACTTTTTCTGCATATAAGACTTACATAGAAGTTTTAGAAGCTCATGTTCCAAAAAAAAGGAAAATGAAGTTTTATGACTTATTTTTAAATATTATGTCGATAATGATTTCATACAAATGATACACCTTAGCTAAATGGCATTGTCAAAGATTGAGGACAAAAAGATAAATTTAGTGTTTTGTTTAATTTTCAGTTCCATCAAAATGTGAAGGTCTGAACCTTCTTCAGCCTTCCCTATAGCGCCTGTGTAGATAGCTTTCGACTTTCGTGTCATTGGACGCGAGATGACCTTCATACAAAATATACGCTAAAGCTATTAAAGTTAACTGTTTCTACGAATATCCATGTCTTATTTATTTTGGTATTAAATTTCAAATGTAAAATTTCTTAATTTGAAAATATTCATGTCACAAGATAATCAGTTTTATAAAATATACGAAATATCAGACGTCGAGAATTCTATGTGCAAAATGCAAAGGAGTCCGGTTAAAAAACAAAATATTCGGTTCGGGAGAATTAAAAAAATCACTTTTCGATCATTATTTCTAGAGAATCTCTTAATCTATATAAATAAAGCGTAGTGTACCTGTGTCTGTCCTTCCGTCTATTTTTTGATCTCGACGAATCATAAACAACCTGAAGCAACTGTAGTTTCACACGATTAGAAATTAAATAAATAACTCATTTAAAGTTAAATTTAAATATCAAACAGTGTGAAAGGTTAAAAAAAAAAACAATTATTTATTAAAGGTTTAACTTTAATTTCGCTTTTCGTTACAATTGCAATTGATATCGTCTAATTAAACAGTAATTAAATCTTAAGTGGGGTACGGTACGTTGCTCATGTTTTTTTTTTTCTTTCTTTAACACGCGTATTGTGAGTTATTAGAAATATATTTTCCCTAATATCTTTTAAGAGTAACTTTATTTAAAGGGATCATAAAGAATGTTGATTTTAAAAGAAAAGAAAAATTGCGCGCAAAAAATGTAAACAAGCTACAGAGATCGGTTGCATATACGAAGAAGGATTATGTCCAACAAAGGTGTCGAATAAAGATAAAATAATTTTATTATTTCTAAATTCTTATAGCTTTTACGTACATAGGACGCTGAATGTAAAACACCAAAGGCCGAAAAGCAGGAGCTAGCTTAAAATCTGCCTTCTATGCTAATATAGAAATAAAATGGTATTGAAACGAA